AAACTGAACTATTTTAATGGCTACAACAGCAGCTGTGTAATTGGGGAAGAGAGAAAGAGAAAATAGACACGGGCTCCAGTCGGACTCGGCCAGTAATTCTGATAATCTGTCGGATAAGGGCCGGACTAGGGCATATGTTTGAGGCCCGTGCAGGGTTCTGCTGAGCTTATTTGGTAGCAAACTCAATAATCATATACGCACGAGCGCACTTTGGATGTGACTGCGCACCGCCTCTGGAGCGCGCGAGTACCGAATGGCTTAAAAGGACGTTCAAATAAATAATAAAATTTTCTGACGATGCAACAATGACCCGATTAGGCAAGTGACTATTCTGTCAACTGTCCCGAAAAGCGAGTGAAAGTCTTGTACCGCAGCGTGCAGCGGCTCTTGTAACGCTGACAAGATGCGTCGATGTGAAGCCGTTTGAAGAGAAAGTCAAAGAGAGAAGATGCGTACAGCTGAATCACTCACGCTGTTTTCAAATGACTGATTTGATCAGTCTGTGTGGGCTGGACTCAGTCTGTAGGTTTGATTATTTACTCATCAAACCTACATGCTATAGCCTATTGAATAAATGTGTGAATATCCATCATTTTAAAGTCAAAAGCTGCGGGAATGAGTAAAACTATGCGATACAGCCTATGCGCAATCCCGCATCGAAATTCAGGACCTGATTAAACTATTCTATTATACAGAGTTTTGTGAAATAGATTTCAATGACTTTTCCAAAACTTTCTGGGTTTATTTATTTTTCCAAAACGTTTCCAAGCCTGGAAATTAGTGTTTTAAAATTCCATGACTTTTCCAGGTTTTTCATGACCGTACGAACCCTGTATAATGCAACGACACTTACATCGTCATCGCATCTTGTGCACCACGATAAGGCTCCTTAACGCACACCTAAAATTCAAATGCAACATTTTTCATTTGAATGTGGATTTTTATTTGAAATTTGACAAATATTTGAAATTTAAAAAAAAATTGACAGCCCTAATGAGAACGCCAAAACAGTACTCAAAAACAGATGGGAAAAAGTTTATATATGGTACCATTCCTTGAATAGGCTTAATTGTGTGAGAATAATAAATGTGAGAGAAAGCTTGAGCCCTAATAACCAGTTTGCATTTATGATCTCAACTATGTACACTCATAATTTCAGGGAATTTCATGCACTTTCACTACACAAATCAGTTTTTGTAAACATCAAATATCAAACACTTATTTTGCATTTGTTCCAAGTGTAAAGAGCTGAGGATTAACATGAATGTGGATTTTTATTTGAAATTTGACAAATATTTGAAATTTAAAAAAAAATTGACAGCCCTAATGAGAACGCCAAAACAGTACTCAAAAACAGATGGGAAAAAGTTTATATATGGTACCATTCCTTGAATAGGCTTAATTGTGTGAGAATAATAAATGTGAGAGAAAGCTTGAGCCCTAATAACCAGTTTGCATTTATGATCTCAACTATGTACACTCATAATTTCAGGGAATTTCATGCCTTTCACTACACACAAATCAGTTTTTGTAAACATCAAATATCAAACACTTATTTTGCATTTGTTCCAAGTGTAAAGAACTGAGGATTAACAGTAAATCGCAAACAATGTTTCCCACCAGAACTGATGTCAGAAACTTCAGAGTGTCAGCTACTGTTAGCCGTAGTTTTTATCCATATTTAGTGAAAGTTAAGTACTTAATTGTTTGATTTGGGTCTCGGAGTGTTAATGTTTGTCTAAAAGCCTAATGCAAACTTATGCTTTCAGACAGCACTATAATCGTACCTTGATAGAATCCTCCGCCATTGTTAAATCCCCGGCCTCGGCCCCTACCACGTCCTCTTCCTCTGCCCCTGGGATTGACCGCCATGTCAGCAGGCGGCCCACTCACCATTCCAAATCCAGCAGGGTGCTGAAATGAGCAAATCAGTCAATTATGCACAGAATATATACGTGAAGATCATAATGACACTGAAAACAGGAAGAGCCAGGCGTACCATTGGAGGCATTTTATTCTTCTTGTTTGCCTCCGAGTTGGAGCCTTCTGGGAAGAGCTTCTCCAGGGCTGCAAGTGCTGCGTAAGCCTTCGCCACCTTTTTATTGGAGCCGGTTCCCTGAAACTTCTGTCCGTCGATCTCCACCTGCAGCGAAAAATAGAGAAAAGATGCCGCTTTTTTATTTGATCTGTCTAGAATATATAAGATGAATTTAATGAGAATTCCACCTTACAAACACGTCATATGAAAAACTAGAATGTGTCTCTGAGTCTGTGCCCTCACCTCCATGACGAAGCGTTTGTCGTGGCTTCCGCCGGTCTCAGAGGTGAGCTCGTACTTCAGTCCCCTGCGTTTTTCGTTCAGCTCCATGACTGGGTTTTTTCCATGTTTGGTTAGGATGGGCCCCTGCTGCCGAGCGCTCTGAGAAAGCGAAGGAGGAACAGCAAGCTCTTATAAGACTGAATAACTTGCATTACTAGAGGTTTCGTGTGACTAACTAGTCAAAATTAAACCACAATTAATTGAATTTGCACTTTTCTGCATGTAGAACCTTACTGTTAAAAGTATGTTACAGTGATGCTGTAGACTGTTTAAAAATGTAGGGTCGGTAAGATATTTTGGTCAAAAACACAGTTGTGAAACATTTAAAATAACAGTCTTCTACTGTAATGTATTTTAAAATGTAACAGTTCTGTGATTAATAATTTTAAGCATCATACTTAATAAGACAACCAGTCTTTTTTTGCCGATTTGCTGATATAAGAAACATTTCCTATTACTATTATTGTTGAAAACAGCTGTGTTGCTTCATATTTTTGTGGAAATTGTTTTTCAAAGTTCTTTGATGAATAAAATACAGCATTTAATTAAAATAGAAATGTTCTGTAACAATTCAAATCTTACGGTCACTTTTAAAAAATTTAAAAGCATTAATAAAAAATTAAAAATCTTACTGACCACAAACATTTCAAACATGAATTTCCTTGATGTAATTTACTTTAATAAAGAAAAAATAAATAAAAATGAACTATTTAATATTTAAAATAAAATCCTTATATATTGTAATTAATGAATCTTCTTTAGAATTTAATTTTATAATTTTTTATTTGCATCCAAAAAATGCCCACAAGTTGCTTATTAATTCAAATGTATTGCAATCTGTGATATTACATTTTGGTCTTCATGAGCAAATATTTGGATACATGTTGGTAAAAATCTTTGGTACCTCGTCAGTGGGGCTGTCTGTGGTTGGTGCTGGTTCTGGCTCCATTTGGGTCACAGTGGGCAAAGTCTCCTGTGTGGTCATCGGCTCCTCCTGTTTCACCATTTCAGCTAGCTTTTGCTCCAATCCGGTTGGCAGACCCATATCCTGCAAGACCTGGAGAAGGAATTAAAAAAATTCAGTTTCTACCGTTTTAGACTGATCCAGTAAGCCAAATAATTGATCTTCTGATCTCTTACTTTGACAGCTACGTGTAGTTTGGCAGTGCGTTTGGAGGGACCAGAAGCTTCAAAGTTCTTTCCGTCCACCTCTACGGCCATAGTAAACACCGGCACATGAACGGGCCCAGTCTGAGAAATGAGTTTGTACTGCAGACCCGGCTTCAGCTGGTTCAGACGCATCAGGGCATTCATGGCCTGTGGCGGCTCTGCCTTCTCCTCTGGAGCTGAAGGCCAGAAAACAAGGTATGTTTTATGTGCAAAGCTCTGCATAACTCCACTATAAGCAGATTAAGAACATCTGAACAGCATTTACATTTCTTTTGCAATTTCTTCTTCTTCTTGTTTGGATTCTTCTCATCAGTAGCCTCCTCGTCCTCTATGGGGCGTTTCATTGGCAGCATGTAGGTTGTGCTGGGTGGGATTTGAACTATGGAGAAAAAAGATGACAAGTCAAGTTTCTTGCTTCCAAATAAGATAGATTTGATACACAAAACATCCATGAAGTAATGAAAAATGTCCACTTTCACTCACTTTTACCTGTGTAGTCAATAGGTGTCTCACTCCTTGGTTTTCGGGGCACTTTTGAAGGAAGCGGGTCCATGCCGAGTACTTTGTGCAGCTGTCCAAAAGCTGAAAGCCTTAAGGCGTGCTGTCAACCAAAAAATGAAAACGTCACCCATAACGCTCAAATGAGATCTCCAAGCGATCAAATGCAAAACTGTAATAAAAACGGTACATTGTGGACAAACCTGAGCACTCTGGGTGATGTCCTCCCGCTGCTGGCGATCCATGTGACTGATGGCATCCATTGGCTCCTTTTCGCAAGGGTCACAAATGCCTGAACCATCTAAAGCAGATAGATTCACATTCAAATTAAGCAATTTTAAAAGCATCTTTGTAGTATTCTGGACTTCTCGGGCCTACATAATGCTGATTGGTCAATAGAACACTATGATATGCTATAATGTGAACAGTGCACTCAAAAATGGTCTTTCATACTGTATTTTGATATACTGACAGGCAGTCATTTTGTAATCTGTTTTAGATATGAAGTGTGGAGCTGACTTACCAGCCATTAGGATTCCAGATGCGAGACACTCGAGAACTCTACGGAGAGCTTCTCCTGCTCCCATTGGCCGATTCCCAGTGCCAATCGCCTTCTCGCACAGCAGCTCTAAGGGCTTCAAGAAACAACAGCTACATCATATAGATGCCAACACCTAAACGTTTGCCTATATTATTTTTATCTAAAAATAATTAACAGGGAGTAAAAAAAAAAAAGACCAATGCTTGTAGAAAAAATTATATCACATTAATTCTTAAAATTCTGGAACAATGTAACAATGTAAACAACACAATTTTAGACCAGCTTTTGTTGCAATTTAAATATCAGCCACCCCTATTTTCGGGTTGTTTTGTACTTACCCATCCTCGCAGAGGGGCCCAGGTAGGAACACGCGCACAGAGGTCCCTCAGGATACGGATGACAATCACACAGGAGCGTAGTCCATTAGCCCTGGCCTAGAGACAAAAGCAGGAGGGATACAAGCCAACGGTTTATCTCATGGAATCATAATGTGGCACAACACCAAAGCAATAAACAAAGAAAAGGGGTGAGATTTGCCGATATTGAATAATGTGTCGATAAGCATTAGCAATGTAGAAAGGGTGGCAAATGGTTAAGTTACAAAAAAAAGCAATTACTCAGTTGAGAAGCTACATATATGACAGATATTAAGAGACCAGATTAAAAACGTCGAGCTCAAGAGATGAGAACACAACAGGACTTGTGTTTGTGGCTGGCCTTGCGATCAGATATTAAAGGGTTAGTTCACCCAAAAATTTGCTTGTGTTTTACTTACCCTCGAAGCATCCTAGGTGTATATGACTTTCTTCTTTCAGACGAATCCAGTCGGAGTTATATTAAAAATTGTCCTGGCTATTCCAAGCTCTATCATTGCAGTCAGCGGGTGTTGCAGTTGAACAGTCCACAAGTCGTCAAATAAAGCGCGCGCATCCATAATAAAACGTGCCTCTCACGGCACCGGGAGCTGAATAACGGCCCCCTGTAGCGAATCCATGTGTTTTTTAAAGAAAAATATTCATATTTCAAACGTAATAAGCACTTTTCTCTCACTTCCGCTGACTGTCATACACTGAAGCTGTTCCGGCAGATGACGCAGCACGTATGCATATCCTCTGAGATATTCTAGTCTCGCAAGTTTGTTTAATAGGAGCAAAGGAAGCAAAGTTTCCTTACTTTAGCAAAGGAAAACCAGTCTCCTCTTGAATTTTATCGAAATCCTCCGACATTTTTCTTTGCAAATCCTCGGTTTGTACTTCCAATTCGTGATCGGCATTTTGTTTTGTTCTCTCTCCGCATTCGTCACTAATCACGCAACGCCGACATCAAACGTCATCCGCCGGTACTGCTTCAGTGTATGACAGTCAGCGGAAGTGAGAGAAAAGTGTTTATTACATTTGAAATATGGATATTTTTCTTACAAAAACACATGGATTCGCTACAGGGGGCCGTTATTCATCCTCCGGAGCCGTCTGTGGCACGTTTTATTATGAATGCGCGCGCTTTATTTGACGACTTGTGGACTGTTCAACTGCAACACCCGCTGACCGCAATGATAGAGCTTGGAATAGCCAGGATAATTTTTAATATAACTCCGACTGGAGTCGTCTGAAAGAAGAGAGTCATATACACCTAGGATGCTTCGAGGGTAAGTAAAACACAGTCTAATTTTCATTTTTGGGTGAACTAACCCTTTAAATATCAGAACTTAGTTTATACAAGTGAGAATGTACTAGAAGATACTAGATATGGATTAAATCTAAAAAGCAGCTGCTTTTTAAAGCACTGCATGACACCAGTGAAACCATGATTACACTGATATGGTGGAAAAAGGTGCAATATTCCTTTTTGGCATAAATGAAAGCCGACAGACTTTTGCAGGGACCTGCATTAAATATCTAAAACTTACAACAATGTTCTGGGTTCAATACAAGTTTTAGAGGCGGCATCTGTGGCATAATGTTAATGCAATAAAAACAAAAAGTGTCTCATAGCCCAGAAAGGTTGCATTTTTTCATTAAAAATGCAGTTAAAACAGTAATATTAAGTAATATTACAATTTAAAATACGTTTTAATTTATTTTATATGCATATAGTCTATTTCTATATATTTTATCTTATAATTTTTTTTTTGAAAATTAGATTTTTTTTCCTCAGGGTTCTTAAAAAAAAATAAAGAGTTCATATTGAACAGCATTTATTTGAAATACAAATCTTTTGTAAAATTCTCAATGTATTTACAGTCACTTCTGATCACTTTGTGACCTTGCAGAATAAAAGGTATTAATTAATAACTTTTAAAATCTATTCTAAATGTTCATTTCTAAATTTAATTTTTCTATAATAAATGTAAAAGTGTTAAAATAAAGTTCACATGAATGGTTTTAAATGCCATGTTTTTTTTCCTACTAGCCAGCCAAATAATCTCTTTCTAGTTTCTTTCCACATCTCATACAAAAGCTACAGGGTTTGCTGGCTTTATACCAAAAGGACAAGAGTTGAGATACTATATATAAATATACTTTTGATAAGTTGTGTATTTTAAAGTTTTTCTCCTGTCTGTATTCCATTATAGCAATACAAAAAGTCAAAATTAATTGTGGCAATCAATATTATGCAAAAAAAAGCTGATGACTCAAATTAAATTGCACTGAATCCAGAACATTCCTATGAAGGACAATTCGAATGATATTGGGGAAAAAAATATTCTCCAGCGAAGCGTCAAATAGTATGGCGGGCTGCAGAAATACTGCACATCCCATTTTTCACAGAAATGCTTGAATTGTAAAAAAAAAAAAAAAAAAATAACTGTAAAAGCGGCAGTTGATACTGGCAATGACGTCTCAAAAAGGTAATAAACAGTTTATCGATGCGATAATACACTTAGTTAAACTAGCCAGGCATAGGTCAGACAGCATTGACAAAGATGTCCTTGGCAACGCAATTCATAACCATCCAGCAAGAATATGACATTCTACCGGAGGCAAATACACTCCCACAAATAAAATCTACACAGAAAAACACATTCAAACAAACAACTGAAAAAAATACAGCATGAAATAAGGTTAACACAAAAACAAAATAATAACAAACTCAACTACTAGAAGACAAATAAAGACAAGATGCAAACCTGGAACCACTTGGCGTGGCGGAGGGACGCCAAGGCAGTCAGGCATTTCTGCCTGTCCAGTACATCCGGGGGATCGTTGACTGATAGCGTTTCTATTGGCAGGTGGAATAAGAAGACAAGGTACGGTTTGACCAAGGGGTTTTTCTGTCTCACGGCCAGGGGGGGGAGGAGGCAGATAACCCCTACCAAAGGCAGTAGAGGGGAGAGGAGGGGGAACCCCCCCAAACAAGAGCAACCCTTCCTGTGCTAGTACACAACAGCAGGACAGAAATCTACAAGTGGCTGGAGCATCCGGCTCTGTTCCAAACCCAAGTGAGGCTACACTCGACAATAAAAACCATAAATCTAGTCGTTTTCTACTTTATATTATTAACACACATATATTGGACTTGACAGTGAATGAGCCTTTTTATAAAAGCTTAATTAAAATTGCTTTAACACATTATTAGAAAAAATTAAGTAGATCATTTAAATTACATTGAAATTTTACATTTAAACTAAAAACATGTGCCTAAACGTTCATGGTACATTCCAATATGTGCACATAAACTAATGCACACAGAAATATTGAGTAAAACAGTCTATTTTTTTTTTTTTTAAATAGACAGAACCACTTATGATACTTTTGAACGAACTGATAAAAAGACTTACCATAAGAAAGTACACCATTTTAGATCAAATTACGGCACAAAACCATCATAACACTTCGGTTGGTTGGCGTTTCAATGCCATGCCAAATTCCTTGGCAATTTTCATGGCAAGTCACAAGTTTAAATATTATAAAATAGTCATTTAAAAGCCTATTTATAGTTTGCTTCACATAAACTCTAAAATGGATTAAGGGTTGACTGTTACAAATTTCTGTGAAAGTGTTTTAATAACGCTTTGGATAAAAGCATCTGCCAAAATGCATAAACGTTATTTATGTGCAACGCATCTGGACTAACTATGGAAGACACGTGATGATTTCGTCAACAATTTTCTGCCACGGTCTTCACCGGTGATGCCTCAAGATGGCGTCTAGGTAGGCAGCTCACTATGATTTGGAACAGAGCCCTTGTGGCTGTATTTTGTGGCATGAAGTGTACAGTGAGTGAATGTCAAAGAGAGGTTCTTCTATGGCTCGAGTATCTGTGAGATCGGAGTGCATTTGTGCATTCATGTGACATGGGGGAACCCCTCCCCCTCGCCCCCTTGTTTTTTTTTTTTCTGGGTGCACTGCCTTGCCCCTTCCGAGACAGAGAGCGTCCAGTTGGTCAAAGGTCCAGCGTCCCTAAAATCGACAAACTAGAAGGCTTGACAGAGAGAATCAGATTTTGAACCACAGGCAGCAGTATTCAGATACACAAGAGGTATGATCAAAACGAGTCCACACTGCAGCAAAACTGATGGCTCACGATGATCTAAGGCAGGCATCACTAACCGAGGGGTCACAGATAGGGCTAGGCTTTGAGTTCGGCATCAAGTTTGCTCTCCATTGACCCTTCGTTAAGCCCCGCCACCCTTTGGTTACCTTTGCATCGCTTATACAAGTTTTGCAGGAAACATCCAGATATTTTAAGTGTTATTTTTTTAATAAGATGTGCTTATTAAATATTTTTTTTATATTAATTGGAATAAATTGTGACAATGCAAAGTATCATAATCATAATAAGTTTATTGTAAAATGACTAAAAACTGCAAAGGGAGCAGCTTTATTTAAAAACAACTGTAAGATGGCAATGTCATAGAACATGGCATACAATTGGTAAAGATTTAGCAGCAACAGTTTACCATATTTTGGTTAAAAAACTTCCATAGACCAAAGACCAGAAGTTTGTCTGATAAAATGGAGAATGGCAAAAGCTGCCAAGATTGTAAAAATGGGGTTTAGCCAAAGGTCAATTGTTTTCTTACCGAAACAAGTTTTTATTTTGGTGTTTTTCCTATACAACACTCTAGCCCTGAAAAAGCTCTTTACTAAACTAAAAAAGGGCGCCCACAATTTTCTAAAGTTAACTACAGATCCATTGAGTTACTGTGACCATATTATGATCACTCTGGGTCGAATCTATTATTTACGCTGTATCCTAATGTCTAGCATTATCTATAACCCTCCTGCCCTCTGTCCAGCCTCTTTGAGTAAGGCTCTGTCAACAAGTCCTGGCGAACAAACCAGAACTCGACAATACTTCTGCTTCTCATTTTTGCTGCAATGCAAACCGTTCCCTTTCTTCTCCATTATACGAACACATGCAAACAACAAGGTTTGTGATTTTGTTTCTTAATTCTCAGTAAGCCTTCAGTAAACTCTCCTTTTAAATACTTCAAAGGGAACTGGGTCTTATTTAAAGCTTTACCCATCACTTATGTTACTGTATATTGGGCCATCAACACTCTAACATCACGCTGCAAGGAACTGTGAGACTTCAGGTGGCAGTAAACATAACAATTTGTGTTAAATGACTAGTCTGTACACAATATCCCCAAGCTCCATTGAAGGCCCAATAAACAATATCCCTGCCTGAGTCCATCCCATCTGCATTTGCTGTCTCTGGGGTTGTGGGGTGGTTAGAGGAAGCATAAGGCACTTGATTTCAAACCTACCTCCGGCGGCCTGCTTCTCAGCCTCCTCCCTCACGAGAGGTGACGTCAGGTTAAGGGTGAGGGTCAGCGGTGGCTCCTTGGAGTTCTTGATGACAATGGTGGCATCACGGACGCACGGTTTAACGTCATAGCTTTCATCTGTGATGAGCTGTTGGAAAGATATGCATGTTTTTTTATTCTGCCTTTGTAAACAATGCTTAAAATCAGAGATGCAGACATACCTTAAGCTGCACAGCGAGGTTCTCGGAAACTTTCTTTAACAGGGTGATGGTGGGTTTGTCTTTGCACAACAGCACAAGCTCCAGATCAAGATCTCCTTTCAGCAGGATGCCTTTAGCTACCAGCCCCACACGCATGACTCCACGCAAAGAACGTGAGGGCTGCTCCATTGACTTCGGTTCACTGGAGAACAAAATATGAGGGGCAGTTACATGAGAGATACCAACCCACTTCAATAACTAATCATGCAGTCAATATTAAAATTGCATAGTGATCAGAGAAGACAATTAAAAATTCTCACGTCTCTTTCTCGCCATCTTCATCAGACTCCAAGGCATTCACTTTGGCATTTCCTTTCTCCTGCTCGTCCAACCAATCAGAGACAGCCTTGAGGGCACGTTCGGTGTGGGCCACCATGTTCTGCACCCCCTCCAGCTCCTCCTGGGTGGGATAGATGGCAGAGTGTTTGGCCATCACATGGCGATCGTCGTTCACAAAGATGCGCATGGAGCGATGACGCATAGGAGGCGGCTTCACGGGACCAAAGAGAGAAAAACATTAATATACATGACAAAAGGTTGTGCACATACACTACTGTCCAAAAGCCTGGGTTCAGTAAGTTTTTTGTTCTAGTTCAGGTTTTTGTTTTAAGTAATTAATACCTCTATTAAACAATGCATTAAACTGATCAAAAGTGCTAAATACATTCATAATGTCACAATGTTTCCATTCCAAATGGAGCTTTGGTGAGCATAATAGACTTTTCAAAAACACCTAATGTCATACTGATCACTTTTTTGAACACTTGTGTATTAGCAAAATTCAGCCTTTTCTCTTTATATTAATAAACAAGCTTAAGGTAAACAAAAACATCTAATTTTCCTATACGTTTGCAAAAAAGCTGGAAATAATTTTTTAAAACAGGGTGGCTGCTCTGTGCAATTACTGGCATATTAGTATAATTAATTAGTACTATATGGTGCATATTAGCACTAGTCAGTAGATTTAGTGCACTTTGGTATTACCATTATTTCTAGAAGATTAAATCTGACTGCAAAAGCATTAAAGTATGTATACTTTACCATAATGGCTACAAAGTGGTTCTTCAGTTTGGCAGCGTTGGTCTATATGTGGCAGATGAATGCTTCACCAGTTGGTCTGTAACAAAAAGCAATCAGTTTCCTGTATAATAATCAGTCGAAACCTATAATGCAGCAAAAACAAATCTTTCAAAGTCGTTTTAAAGATGGTGTCAATCAAAATGTAGTACAATGTATAGTTACGACTTTATTTATTAATTCAGTGTTAATACTAGTTCCATGATACAATAACACCAGTGTCACGGTGTTTAACATTAAGGCTAAAAAAAGGATTTGAAGTAAAATCCCAGTTAGAGCAATTCTGATTCTGCTTCAGATTCCATACAAATCAAGGCCTAATCCATAATCTTTCTGCACCCCGGGAATTCACAGATCACAAGAGCATCACATATTTAGATCTCCATGGAAATGTGTATTATACCAGGTTTAAAAAATTTTATATGCCACAGATCCTTTGTGTTAAAAACTAGCAATGTATTTCTGTATATAAAGAGCGGATTTTACTGTTAAAAATTAACGTGCAAAATATTTAGTTTAGATCGTTACATTATATAACGTTCTTCTATGCATTAGTACACTATACCATTTGTACATAAATCATTTTTATTATTTATTTTAATAATCTTTTATATTAAGATGAACACTTTTTTTTTTTTACCCCCAGCATCCCCTGGGGGACTCCAGACCGCAGTATGAAAATATCTGTATTAAATAGGGGCTGATTGAGATTGATCACGTTGGGATGATTGATCGGCGGTGTTAAAAATTAACGTGCAAAATATTTAGTTTAGATCGTTACATTATATAACGTTCTTCTATGCATTAGTACACTATACCATTTGTACATAAATCATTTTTATTATTTATTTTAATAATCTTTTATATTAAGATGAACACTTTTTTTTTTTACCCCCAGCATCCCCTGGGGGACTCCAGACCGCAGTATGAAAATATCTGTATTAAATAGGGGCTGATTGAGATTGATCACGTTGGGATGATTGATCGGCGGTCTCTAAAAGGCCGATCTCAAGCTGATGACGCTGCCGTGAGAGGTTTGGAACGACATGCAGCGGCACCGTCTCAGTCCGGCGAAGGTGAAATCATTATAATGCTGAAGGTGAGGTACTCACCTTCATATTTCTTCATTAGATAACTTAAGTAATTTGAAAACCTTGTGTGAGACGTAATTTCCCAAACAGCGAGAGTGAATGACCGCGCACGCACTCTTTCAAAATACGCAAATGTCTTCAAATCACCACATCACGTCTGTCTATAAATGAGCTGCACGCTGCACAGTTGACACAGGAATTGTCACTTGCACAATCGAGGCAGTGTCACATCGTCACTAAAGTTTATAAATTGCATTTCTTTTTCATTATTGCCAGTGTTTAATTCAGCACTCACGTGCTCTCCTGGAGACCGTGGGCTCATGCACACTCGCAGCACACACACATAACACTAGTGACACAGGAATTGTCACTTGCACAATCGAGGCAGTGTCACATCGTCACTAAAGTTTATAAATTGCATTTCTTTTTAATTATTGCCAGTGTTTAATTCAGCGCTCACGTGCTCTCCTGGAGACCGTGGGCTCATGCACACTCGCAGCGCACACACATAACACTAGGGCTCGATTTTTCGATTAATCGTTTTTTTTAAATGACGTCGATTTGACATCGATTCTCAAAAGCCACGAATCAATCTTTTCTGGGATTTAATTCAGCACACATTTAAAACAAGATCTGATTAACGTGAATCTTATCATTAATCTTCTCCACTAGATGTCACCCTTATTTACCTTGCGCGATGTTACAACAGAAATCCTGTCATTCATTCAGCGCTTATCATGGCCATACGCGTGATTCGCAATGCTCAGGTGAAATGCTATAGTAATACTTTAATCTGCGGAAGCATTTGATATCACGCATAAGGCGCCACGATTTCCGCAATGAATGAATGAATGAATGGCGGGGCGCACTGTTTTGTTTACTACACACATACTAAAGTGCGGATGACGCTCGCGGTGTTTTCTGCTTCTGCCGTCTCACTATATGATGATATGAACATGAATGTCATCTCCAGCTTAGGGCTGGACGATATGGCCAAAATTGATATCACAATATATTTCTTAATATATTTTATCAATACGATATAATTCCGATATCGATATTAACACTATTTATCTGAAATAGAAATCTTTTGTAACATTATAAATGCCTTTATCATCACTTTTGATCAATTTTAAGCATCCTTGCTAAATAAAAGTATTAATTTCTTTCCCAAAAAAATGATAAAAATTATACTGAATGGAATAGTGTATGTTACAAAAGCTTTTTATTTCAAATAAATGCTGATCTTTGGATCCTTCTATTGATCAAAGAATCCTGAAATTTTTTTTTACTTAACTGTTTTAAATATTGATAATTAGCAAATCAGCATATTAGAATGATTTCTGAAGGATCATGTGACACTGAAGACTGGAGGAATGATGCTGAAAAAGTACCTATGTATGATCACAGGAATAAATTACATTTTAAAATCTATTCAAATAGAAAGCAATTTTAAATAGTAAAAATATTTCTACATTTTACTGTTTTTGCTGTACTTTGGATCAAATAAATGCAGCCTTGGTGAGCAGAAGACAATTCTTAAAAAATAATAATAAAAAAAACAATCTTACTGTTCAAAAACTTTTGACTGGTAGTGTAAGCTGAACTTCTGTTGTGAAAAAATCATATCACCATTGAAAAAAATTATATCGCGATACATATTGATATTGAATTATTGTCCTGCCCTACTCCAGCTACTCTGAAATTCACTTCATTAGCATTTTACCGTTTCATTTGAGAAAACTACTGTCATATCACATACACAGCAGCTGCAAGTTCTTCAGGGCAACCCGTCAAAATAAAAGTTTAGTTTAACGTTAAGAAACTGTCAGAATATATTACTATTTAGCAGTCTTAAGACTCAATGCTACTACTGCTAATAAATATTAATAAATCTTTATTTTTAAAGGAATAATCACATCCGTTTTCTTTTTAATTTTAACAGTAAACCTCTGTTGTTGCAGCACTTTGTTTGCCAAAAAATAAAAGGGTTTAATTTTCATTTGATTAGGATAAATTAAATTAATATTTTATGCCTTCATCTGATTACCAGAAAAATTAAGAACATTTTATAGGGCCCTATTATAATTTTTTTTTTTAAAAGGACACATACAAAAAAAAGTATAGGTTTAAAATACAGGCATGTGGTTCTTAATTTCTTTTTATTAATTCACCATTTGTAAACTGATGTTTACTGTTCATTTTTTAGAAATATCAATAGCATTTGTATTAAAACTATATTCACTGAATGTAATAAAAAAAATCGAGAATCGAATCGAAAGCTTGCGCATCGAAATCGAATCGAGACATCTGAATCGATACACCAGGTTCACATTACTCTGTTTGCCGTGCGTATGTGGTGCGTATTTTTTCCGTGCTCATGTTAACGGATTAATAAAGTGTTCACTGCACACGGTTGCTGTCCGTCAGTGCGTTCAGTCTGCAGCAGTGCAGAGATCGTTTCTGCACCGAGTCTATTTTTGCTGCGCTGCACGCACTGAATTAAAGTAACAGCGCATTATTTGCATTAAATATAAACATGGATTGACACAAATTTAGTAATTACACCATAAATGCATATTATTAAAGTCTACCCTGTTTCCTGTAAATTATATTTTTGTGATAACGTAAGCAGTTTAAATGTTTTGCCACTTGCTTGAGCAACTTAATCTATAAATCTAGAAGTAAATGCAAAAGTAAAAAGCATTGAATGATGTATTACTTATATTTGTGTTTAAACATGTCTGTGAAAGATTGTATTACTGTACTGCGTAAAAGAAAAGAATCGCAATGCTGAAAAAACTTTCACTTACAATGTTTGGATTTGAAATCAAAATAACGGATAAATGTTGTGTTTGTGGTAAATAGCTATGGATCAGCAGCGGACTCCTGTGTGAAAGCTGCTTCCCCTCTCACAAGAGACACCTAAGAGGGGAATTCCCCCATTTTCAAAAATGAAATTCAGGCCCTGAATAAATGTCTACAAATCCTAATTGGAGTATCACTATAAATAGTTATAAATGATAAAAAAGAAGGCTTTAAAAAGATCGGTATCGGCAGATACTGCTTTCAGTCATCGGCAATCGGCCTCAAAAATCCTGATCGGAGCACCCCTAGGATTCAATTTAAGAAAAACAAATACATAATGCATATAATAATATTAAATCTTGGTTTTGGCTCTGGTGGGACTGTCCTCCTCAAATATTATCATTGAGCATAAGTACCTGAGCATTGAAGCAAATACACTTGTAATGTGTAACGACAATGTGTAATTACTCAACTTAAATGATCTCTTCCCTTTGTGAAACACACATATATCACTGCGTTATATAATCTGTGCCCATGTAACAAGCAGGACACGCACTTGTTGGCGCCGAAACCGCCCCCGTATCTCTAAATTCAACCAGAGATCAGTCAAATTAAAATAATAACAACGTATCTCTTACATAATCAACATACACGCAAGTCAACGTGATATTGCACCTCAAGCAACACAATGCTGAAGGAAACAAGGGAAACGCAGTAACTTGCACTTCGCAGCTGTGCGGCCATTTTAATGCAGCCAAACAATGGGGACAGTCTGCGCAAACATCTACCTTCATTCACACAACATTTGGCCCTTAAGATCGCATTCACCGTGATCGAATTAAGTTTGTACACGTAAATCTGGCTAATTGCGCCGGGGAAAAAATGCTTTCTGACCAAGATACGCATTTGATTTAGAGACACGGCCAAAGACACCGAATGAGATAAAATGGTCGTGACTCTCCCCCAAAACAACTAAAATAAAAAAAAACTGTGCCAGAGTGTTTATTTAACTAGATTAGTAAATAAGACAGAAAAGACGACTTTTTAATTAATTTAATTTAAATGCAAGAGAAAATAAAATAAAGTAATGCCCAATTCTCGCTGCTTTTGTGAAACGCATAAGGAGCTAGCGTGCTAATCGCTAGCCATAGCCGTTTGCTATCGAAATAAATGCATTTCTGGTGCGTTTAAGTGTTGAAACGACACATTTAGAGTCAACTTAAATGTATTCACTCGATATAGTTGCACCTCAAAACATTTTAGACCACCTAATGTTTAATAATTTTACGTTTTTTGCATTACTCACCAGCGCAGCGACAAGATGGGCCTTTTCACTGATTTGCCGCTGTAAAGAATCAGCGTGCGCCGAGGAACAGTGACACGTGATATCAGTGGACCAATAGGATCATTCGATGGCGCGTCAGCGACAGAATGGAGTGAATGGAGTGGGCGTGGCTTTGTAATTCAGACTGGCGCCTGCAAAATGGAACATTTTCTTTCTTTCTTTCTTTCTTTCTTTCTTTCTTTCTTTCTTTCTTTCTTTCTTTCTTTCTTTCTTTCTTTCTTTCTTTCTTTCTTTCTTTCTTTCTTTCTTTCTTTCTTTCTTTCTTTCTTTCTTTCTTTCTTTCTTTCTTTCTTTCTTTCTTTCTTTCTTTCTTTCTTTCTTTCTTTCGCCTGGCAAGGAAGGCGTCAGCTGAGAAAATTTGTCAATTTGTGTATGCATCAAAACAATGCAAAGTGCAATGTTAAATTGACACACTGTATTTAAATAAGACAAATGAATGACTATTTAAATATGTTTTTTTTCCTGTAAAAATGGGTCATAGCCAGGACACGGGCTCGGTCGAATGGAAATGGGCAAATTACAGAAAGAACAGTGTGTAACAATGTGGCTTTTCTTCTAAGATGGTTTCATTTTTAAATTGGTGCTATTTGTCACTAAAAAGGTAAAAACAATGCTAAAGATATATCTTTTGAGATCTGGTTGATAGTAGCAAACTAGAGTTTTTTATAGTTGTCTTTAAGCCAGTACCTTTTCAAAAACTACTAGGTATTAGGTATTGATATTTACACTTTAGGAACTGTACTTATGTACTTTTGAGGTAGGCCTATAAGGTACATTTTGTACTTTAGCGGAACGACACATGACAGCTTTGTACCTTTTTCTGAGAGTGCCAGTTTTGAAAAGAAAGCCAGGCCTAATAGCAGTCATGTAAATGCAACATCCTGACGTAGAAAGAGACGGAAAACTGAGATTCTTCCTGAAGTGAACCTTTATTGGTCAAAATAATATTCAATAGCTTCTACATTCCATAGCTTTTCAAGATCACACATAGTAGGGCAAGACACAAATGTACTGATACAAGAACACTGAGACGGTCATCATGCACATGTAAAGGTTCTGCCTTTAGGTTGCAGTGATATTTACACTATTTCTTCATTATTTGACTTTTACTGTATGTAATACTGTATGTGGACTATATAGAATCCTGTGCAATAGCTCTGAAGCCAAACAAAGCTTCATGTTCAAAGACATTTTGATGAATTTTATAATGAATCACCAAAAGAGATGGTGCATGTTAATCCTGAACAATTGCAAACTAGCTTATTAAATCCAAGGCTAGGGCTGCACGATTATGACAAAAATCATAATTGTCGATTATTCCCTTGAAATTGTAATTGCGATGATTAATTGCGATTATCACAATTTACACTGAATGATGTTTATACCGTTGTTTGGTGCAACTGCATGCCATATTTTATATGAAAATAAACAAGCTGAAAACACTCTAACTGAAAAACCTTTAGTGCTTTTCTATAGCATTAAGCCTCAAATGTCAACTATACATCGGATTGGTTTCTTCTTTCAATTATAAAAAAGTAAAAATATGAAAGGTATTATAATGTTATACTAAAACTAAAATTAAAATAATGGGGGAAACCCTTAAGATAACATGTAGAAAGAAAGAAGAAATGCATATTACGCACGCAGAATAACAAGTGGACTTTGAACGATTACGTAATTATGGCATCCATAATTGTAATCGCGATTAGAAATTCGATTAATTGTGCAGCCCTATCCAAGGCCCAAATTTTCTTTGCTCCTGTGACTCCTCCTGCCCTTTTTATATTTCCTTTTCCTTAGTTTGCATGGGAAAAAGGGTTCTTTTTTTATATAATACTAATAATTGAGGTGACATGCATGTTTGCAGTCCATTTCACATTGTCACTTATCAGACTCACTCTACGAAGTGCAACTGTGACTGCCAACTTTTTCAGCAGCCTTGGTTCCAGAACTATCCTCCCGTTCATTTTCTCCATAGGCATTCTAGAAAACTCTTCAATAGAGTTTTAGGATTTCCTTCAACAATACAAACCAAGGCAAAACAGTATCTGAAATGGATATGAAACAAAAGTACAAGACTGTGTACTTAATTATTTTATGACAGAATGAGTTAGTCATACCATGAAGCATTGTGAATTATGTAAATAAATAATAAACAATGGTAATGTATGAAATGATGGGCTATAAATCAATAATGATAGGGTAAAATGCAATATATTTCATTGCTATGTATAAAGTTCATTCAAATGCATACACATTTTTTATACATATTGTTGTTGCATGGTAAGGAATTTGCAAATGAAAAACCCAAAATTTGGCAATTTAAATGTAACAAAATGGAAAGTCTGTCTTGAAACATTTATACATTATTGTTAAAGTCCATTTCTTTATGGAGAAAATGAATGGGATTTTTACTTCCAGAACCCCGCTGTGCTCAATCATAATGCTTATTGAAGTTTCTGCGGTTCTAGAGCATCGCTTGCATTACAACTTCCAATGTGCTGCTTCTTCATCCACCCTTTAAGCAATAGGAACTTAGATCTGTCTTCAGTAATGCTGCACTGCAACGATTTTGGTTAATAACAGCCTATTTTTTCACCTTTTCCAAGTCTCTTCCATGTGGTAGAACTCATACTCTGGAATCCCTCCATCAGTTCCGATTAATTGTGCTTTTCACCGAGTTCTGGAAGGAGCTGATCTCCCACCGCCGGAATGTGCTTCCTATTCGGTTACTGCGGCCGGTGGTTATGCGGTAGATCTTTCTGAGGACGGCCCGGCGTAGAAGGATATAGACCCAGGGGTCCAGAATCTGGTTCCAGGAGGCCATACGCACTCCCATTACCATTAAAGTCCTGTAGTTTTTCAGATCATCCCCCATCATCCCCCAGCTATACGAGCGGATGACTGACATCAGACCGAAGATCTGTCAGGAAAACAGAGAATGTTAGTTGTAGTCAGTGGATGAGGCAATATAAAGTCATGGTATAACAGCAAAAGAATACTAAGGACTAGTCAGAAACAAGATCAAACAGGAAAATTTAATTGATCAGAAGTTGCTCATTCATAGCTCGTGAGACATAATAAATCCTCAGTTGTGATTCATCCTCACAATGCATTCAGCTCTGTTTTGACCCCTGAAGAGATCATTTAAAATATCGAAATAAAATGCATGGCTTTTCTTTATGGGAACCAAAGTTTTCAAATGTGTCAAGACTATCAAAATACACATATGCCATTTTTATAGATTGCTTTTTAAACAAGTTCTTTTTTTAAGTACCAACTTTGTGTTGAGTCATACGGCTCACAGAACTTGTTCTTTGAAGAAATGTTCATATTAAAATTCCTAGAATTGTTACTGCAGACTTGGCAAAACTACACAGTTTGAGACAGTTGACATATAGGCTATTGTGGAGGAAATACATGGAATTACTCTTTTTTTTCTCAGGAGAAAAATCTGAGAAGGAAACTTTGTTTTCTATTTAATCTTATTGCTGTATAGGAGAAACAATTGACATATCAGTACAGAGATCTCGTTTGTGAGTTGTCTTTCCAATGGTGTTCCTACACAGACAAACTTAAAAAGTCTTTAAAAGAATAAAATAGTTTTCTTTTATTCATTTTTTATTACAATCAGAACTTATGTCTATTTATATAAATTTTGAGCATAGAATACAGTATTTTTAAAGTATACTTTGTCACTTGACTTCTAATATTACTTTAAATATATCTAATATAAACTGTATTTTCAGCATTTTTTGTTATGCATACTAATTTACATCCATATTTGTATACTAATTTTATATTGTTCTGTTACAATTATTTGCTTGGATCCTTCTTTAATCTTATGTTAATCTTTAATCTTATTATTTGTTTGCATGTGAGGTACTTGGAGCTTATTGTAATACTTTTTTATTGTACGGTCCTTAATAGACAGACAGACAGACAGACAGACAGACAGAGACACAGATAGATAGATAGATAGATAGATAGACAGACAGACAGACAGACAGACAGACAGAGAGACAGACAGAGACATAGATAGACAGACAGACAGACAGACAGACAGAGACATAGATAGACAGACAGACAGACAGACAGATAGATAGATAGATAGATAGATAGATAGATAGATAGATAGACAGACAGACAGACAGACAGACAGACAGACAGACAGACAGAGACATAGATAGACAGACAGACAGACAGATAGATAGATAGATAGATAGATAGATAGATAGATAGATAGATAGATAGATAGATAGACAGACAGATAGACATATAGATGATAGACAGACAGACAGACAGATAGACAGATAGATAGATAGATAGATAGATAGATAGATAGATAGATAGATAGATAGATAGATAGATAGATAGATAGATAGATAGATAGATAGATAGATAGAATGGTTAAGTTGTAATGGTCATACTCACCAGCAGAGGGCTCCAGCAGATGCAAGAAGTGACCATAATGCCCACCAGCTGTGCCACCATCTCAATGTCATGTGATTTAGCCGATCTGCGGTGGCACTTCTTCCTGCGCAGACGGGCGTTCACCAGTGTCACCCCGCTGATGGTGTTGCAGACCAGTGCCACGGCCAGCGCGGCCAGTCCCAGTCCAGAAAACAGCAGCACAAATATCACGTCTGTGATGCTGGTATTGTCTAACACGTTTATGAAGCACCAGGTCCACGGGAACTGGTAGGTGTATGTTCCCAGGCGAAAGAAGGGCAGCAGCGCTACAGATAAAGCCAACATCCATATCATCACCAGCACCATCTTGGTGTGGGCCATGCAAATTACGCGGGCGTGCAGGAGAGGCTGCGTCACACCCATGCACCGCTCCGCCGCCATAACGCACCCCAGAAACAGCGGGCACAGGCCGAAGAACACCATGCTGCCGCCCAGGAAATGGCAGGTGGCATCGGGTTGGTAACAAAGTCCTCCAGCGGTGCCAGACATGTAGAGATGCAGAACCAGGGCACCTGGAATAACATGACCGGCAAGGTCCGTAGCCACCAGAGAGCTGGCGAACAGCAGGAATGTTGCTTTGGAGCGCTTCCGCAGACGAGCGTACGCTTTAACCAGGATGATCAGTGCTACGATGTTGGACACGATGCCCAGGGTCATGGACAGGCCCGCTGCCGTGGGGTCGGTTGTGATGTTCAGGTTTTCCCTGCAGCACACCGGTGCCACTCCAGGCACCTGCTGGGTCTGATTGCTGAACCCTTCATTCACATCCAGGGCTGAACTGTTGTAGTGTTGGACAGCTAACATCTCCAGGCTATGGGATGAGCACCACTGAGCTTAGAGATACATATCTTTAGAGAAAAGAGCATAGAAGTGTGTTTATGAGAACTGGGCATTTAAAGCCGAGATTAAGAACTCGAATGCTTCTTTAGCTGTATATCAGATATGTAAAAATAGGAATGCTCTGCTTATTTTGGCTGGAAAGTTAGTCAATTTGGGACAATTTAATCAGTTAACAAGCAAGCGATTACAGCCCTTCCTGTTTTTTCCCTTGTTTATGTACAAACATTCAATGAGGGAAATTATGTCCAGAGGTCTGAAATGATACACTGACACACCTTTCAGAAAACTTTAGTGAATAGAAACATTGTTTTTGCACAATTTCCTCTCCAGGGTACATGAGAAAGCAAACAAATTTCAACACTTCTGACCATTCACCACTGTAATAAGAAGAACTAAACAACTGTTTGAAGATAACAAGATATATATATAAAAAAAAAAACAGATAAAAAGAAATACACAAAAGTATAAACAATGTTTAAATGCTTTTCCAGAAAACCTAAAAATGTCTAAATCAACTAGTTACCAACCTGATTACATTAATGAGCCAGATAAAGTAGATTCTATTTGAAGAGTTTATTTGCAAAAACAGATAACTCCATTTTTTTAAGTTTTCAAAAAGCATTTTTTTTTTAGGCTATGTTATCATAGTTTTATTGTGTTAGTTATTTAGTTATTTGTTTTAACCTAATCAAAATAACCCAACTGCATTTTGATTGAGATTATTGGAATGAAAAAACATGATTTTTGAAAATGGTTAAAAACGGAGTTATCTGTTTTTGTGTGTGTAGCCGATGTGTTAAAAATGTATGCATCACAGCAATTTGAATAACTACACGGTTTCTTTTACTTTAATATGTCATTTGCTCTGTCACTTATTCATATATTTTGGAGTAGCCTACATCGCAAATCTTTTTCTAGTCTATCAAAAGTCCATTTCAATAGGTAAATATTCCAAATATTTACCATTTACGCGTTTTGTATTATCCGTGCTGCTCACCTCACCTGAAAATCTTCATTTTATATCCCCCCCCCCCCCCCCAAAAAAAGTCCTTGAGAATCGAAAGGCGATATCAGACTCCCATCATCCGTTTAGTCCGGAGTCTTCTTACTTTTCCCGATAATAAAAAACGTATTCCAGTTCGACTAAAAGTGTCTTTGCAGTCTAAATATTGATGTTCAGAAGTGTTAGTGGTATTGTGGTCTTCATTGTCTAAGAAAACATCATGTAAAGGTGTATAAAGTAGGACTGTGGAGTGACCCGCGCGCGCTGCTGTATTTATAGCTCTCAGTGCGCTGTAAATAATGACGCGTCACTGCGTCTCACAGCAAAGTGAGCGCGTCTGCATGCGCCTAGTGTTTTAAACATCACGAGCTTGTACAGTAGCCTATGTGCTTACGCATAGATGATTCTCAGTTATTCTTTTTTAGGTAGGCAGCGCATCACTTTTAATCATCATTGACGCGTTGTAGCAGTTATTGACATCCTGGATAATAACATATAGACATGATATTTTGGAGTAATCTGCACACACCTATGATGCCCGGAAAGTACGCAATCTAGCACACAAGGTTTTGAGACACATTAAGCTTGGCAAGTGAATGGACAGGGCGCCATGGACCTGCCAGCAGTGTCAAATGTGAAATCAATACGCAGCATTTTAAATGCTCATTATAATTTACAGCTCAGTCTTTTAGTTTAACGTCATAGGATTTAATAAGCGGATAAAGTCCAATTTTGCATTGATATCCCCCACTCCCCACCCTGGATTTGATAGGTCTGGGATGGGACCAGACATGGAACCAGATTTATAAAATGCTCTTAAAGGGATAGTTGACCCAACGCTGAAAATGACCCTGTACTTTACTCACCCTCAAACCATAGGTGTATATGACTTTCTTCTTTCAGACAAATACAATTGGAGTTATATAAAAAAAATGTCCTGGCTCTTCCAAGCTTTTTAACGGCAGCTTTATAATAGCAGTGAATGGGTGTTGAGATTTTAAAGCAAAATAAAGGGCATCCATCCATTATAAAAAGTGCTCCACGTGACTCCAGGGGGTTAATGAAAGCCTTCTGAAGTGAAGCGATGCATTTTTATATTAAAAAGATATGCATATTTAAAACTTTCTAATGGAGGACAGCGTACAACCGCTGAGGGCGGAAACTACGGTAATACAGGACTGTCAGCCAACGGCCATGGGCGGGGCCTAAACAATGTGATGTCATATTGCATAGAGAATCAAAACAGCATGCCTAGTGAGACTAACTTGGTTTAATGGGGATTAAAAAATAAGTAGTGTGTGTATTTTATATTATTGTAGGGTGGTTGTGTTCACACACTGCCAACACACATTTAGGTCCAAACACCATGTAAAAGTGGATTTTGCATAATAGGTGCTCTTCAACAATTACATTTTTAAAAGCAATTTTTTATTACTTTCTAACTTTAAAAAGTAGGGATAGGGCCTAAACAATGTGATGTCATATTGCATAGAGAATCAAAACAGCATGCCTAGTGAGACTAACTTGGTTTAATGGGGATTAAAAAATAAGTAGTGTGTGTATTTTATATTATTGTAGGGTGGTTGTGTTCACACACTGCCAACCATGTAAAAGTGGATTTTGCATAATAGGTGCTCTTCAACAATTACATTTTTAAAAGCAATTTTTTATTACTTTCTAACTTAAAAAAGTAGGGATATTTTGTGTTTTGTATTCTTCTTTTTTCTGAAAATTGTCTTTAAGACAAAACTTTTGTAGAGTTAAAATTCTCAAAAAGAATCTTCTTAAACAGCACAAATTCTCAAAGTTACACTGAAAAAACTGTAGAGAAAAAAATCACTCAGAAATTGCTATTAAATTTCACAATTAATTTTTAAAAAAATGGTAGCACATTATTTAAACATTATTTTTTTAAGTAGAAAGACTAAAATAGTATTTTCTTGTAAAACATACTTTTAAAGTTTCATTTATAACGTTTTATTTGCGAAATTTCAATATATATATATTTTTTACAGTGTAATAACTCCCAACTTGTCTTAAAACCCCAAAGGTAAGACATTTATGAATTTATTGAGTTGTTTCAGATTAACTGTCCATCAGTTAATCTTCAGCAAGAATTTTGAGAATATATGAGAACTTCTAAAGAACTTTTCAAAAACTGAACATAGAACATTCTTACAATGTCTTAGAATTTATCTTTTGACATTTCTTATAACTTCTGTGACTGTCTTAAGAAGATTTCCGGCCCCATGAATCCGGCCCCACTGGTTCCAAGGACATGGGGAGCGAAGAGGAAGAAAGAGTATGTCAGAGGTACTTTTTAAACATTTCTTTCATGACCATAAAAGAACAATTCCTAACAGATTTAAAAAGTACCAAGGGATGTAGGCTATACAAAACTTCTTGCACACATAAAGAAAAAAAATCTCTAATTACTGAAGAGTACAGCAGCTGGCCATAACTGGATGAGAGCAATCAAGAGAACCTAACAAAAGACCTTTTCACGTTACTCCTCCTGGTACTGACCTTTTTTCCCAACCAGCCTAATTTGGCACTAAACGGAAAAGCACAACAAATAGTGGCCCATCATGACTGAAAGGGTTGGTCGGTCTTGCGTCATCTCCTTTAAACACTCTGAGGAGGAAATAATCACATGATGGCAATGTTGAATACCTCTCTCTCTCTCTCTCTCTCTCTCTCTATATATATACAGTGCCTTCCGAAAGTATTCATACCCCTTCAGTTTTTTACATTTTGTAATGTTGCTGCCTTATGATAAACTGTACTTACTAAACTTACTTTTTTTTCCACATCAATCTATACTCCTAGTATTAAGACGTGTGTGCCTTTCCAAATCATACCCATTCAATTGGATTTGCCACAGGTTAACTTCACTCGAAGTGTAGTAATATCTACAAGCAATATGAATGCTCCTGAGCTAAATTTCAACTGTCCCAGATATGAATACTTATGCAATGGAATCATTTTAGTTTTAAATTTTTAATAAATTTGCAAAGATGTTAAAAACCTGTTTTTTTGCTTGACAATTAAGGTGTATGGAGTGTAGATTGTTGTGGAAAAGCAGTTTAACATAAGGCAGCAACAAAACAAAATGTGGAAAAAATGAAGGGGTGTGAATACATTCGCAAGGCACTGTATATAAGCTGAATATATGTAATATATAATATAAGCCGAATAAAAAACGTGAAGACAATACATGCACAGTATGTGGTTTATGTGTGTTTTTCCAAGTCATCGGGTAATAAACAAAGTATCTGAATAATACAGTGCTAACTATAGCAGTCATTACACTAGCCTATATAAACTATAAAATATATTTTCTGCCTTATACTGTGATTACAATTGAAAGTATATGAACAAATGATTAGGAAAATATAAGAAAAATATTACAGAAGACAAATTACTGGTAGGCCTAATTGTCCAGTAGTGTATTTGATTAAAAGTAATAGATAAAATGAATGAATAAATAAAACTTGTCAATTAGACTAAAATAAAGAAAAGTATTTTTACATTTGATATTTCTGTCCCCCTCACTTCTGAAATGATGTCTACGTCCCTATAGGCAGCGGTTATTTTACATTTTACATTTACATTTAGTCATTTAGCAGACGCTTTTATCCAAAGCAGTCAAAACTAACAAAAGAGCAACAATATATAAGTGCAAATGAGTCTCGGTTAGCCTAATGCAGTACACGTAGCAAGGTGTATATGTATATATATATATATATATTATACACACACACATATACAAAGAAAAACAAGTAGATAGTGTTTGTTTTTTGTTTGTTTTTTTAAATACAGACTAAAAAAAAAAAGTTAAATATAGATAAAGTAGAATTAAAATAGAATAGGATAAAATGAATGAATAAATAAAACTTGTCAATTAGACTAAAATAAAGAAAAGTATTTTTACATTTGATATTTCTGTCCCCCTCACTTCTGAAATGATGTCTACGTCCCTATAGGCAGCGGTTATTTTACATTTTACATTTACATTTAGTCATTTAGCAGACGCTTTTATCCAAAGCAGTCAAAACTAACAAAAGAGCAACAATATATAAGTGCAAATGAGTCTCGGTTAGCCTAATGCAGTACACGTAGCAAGGTGTATATGTATATATATATATATATATTATACACACACACATATACAAAGAAAAACAAGTAGATAGTTTGTTTTTTGTTTGTTTTTTTAAATACAGACTAAAAAAAAAAGTTAAATATAGATAAAGTAGAATTAAAATAGAATAGAAAGTGTTAGAGATAGAGGGTCAAATAAAGGTGGAACAGATGTGTTTTTAGTCGTTTCTTGAAGATGGTTAAGGACTCAGCTGCTCGGATTGATTTGGGCAGGTTATTCCACCAGGAGGGAACAAATAATATACTTATTTGCACTAAGTATAGCGATAGAGGCTATTTACACTAAGTGCAAATAGCAATGAGATGCTATTTACACTGAGTGAAAATGGTATATTTTCTTAGCAATATGCCATTTAAACTATATGCAAATAGCGATAGATTCTATTTACACTTTGTAAAAAATCAGGATTTTCTGCTATTTAACAGGGCTGCATCTCACGCAGTCAACGTGACACTCACGCCACTCACACTGTTCTTTCTTACGCTCTCACGCCACACATCCATTTGTTTTCACGCAGTAAAGGCTTTAGTAAAGGCTCATGTGTGCATTTGTGGAAAGCGTCAAGATTCTTTACAACGTGTTTTCGTAGCGCTGAGCAAAGTAGCCAATCACAGACATATCTGTTGATTTATTGAACACCTGTGATTGGCCATTGCGTTCACCCGCCTCTAAACGCTGTTTTTTTTTTCCTGCACGCTTGCGAATCCACTCTCTCTAACATGATGTAGCTAAATAAGAGGTTCATTGATTATAAAGGAACTTTGTGAGATCGAGATGAACTGAAGTAAGTGATACCTTTTTAGTGATTATAAAGGAAGGTCCTATTTGAACACTTTCTTGGATAAATATAATCTGTTCAGAATTTGAATAAAAGTTTTGTTTTTCGTGCCGCTAACGGCCATATACCTTAAACAAGCAGCAAAGTTTCGGGAGTGACATAGCCTCCCAAACTGACATCAAACATTGGCATCAAAAACGCAATTCAAACTGATGTCAAAAACTTCACATCCATTTGACATCCAACAAGGTGGGCTATTTGCACTTAGTATAGATTTGCACTTAGTGGAAATAGCCTCTGGATGCATAAAGGAAA